GTTCAACACATGCTGTTCAACACACACATGCTGTTCAACACATGCTGTTCAACACACACATGCTGTTCAACACATGCTGTTCAAACACACACATGCTGTTCAACACACATGCTGTTCAACACATGCTGTTCAACACACACATGCTGTTCAACACATGCTGTTCAACACACACACATGCTGTTCAACACACACACATGCTGTTCAACACACACATGCTGTTCAACACACACACATGCTGTTCAACACACACATGCTGTTCAACACATGCTGTTCAACACACACACATGCTGTTCAACACACCACACATGCTGTTCAACACATGCTGTTCAACACAAAATGCTGTTCACACATTGTTCAACACAATGCTGTTCAACACACACACATGCTGTTCAACACATGCTGTTCAACACACACACATGCTGTTCAACACACACATGCTGTTCAACACATGCTGTTCAACACACACATGCTGTTCAACACATGCTGTTCAACACATGCTGTTCAACACACACACATGCTGTTCAACACACACACATGCTGTTCAACACACACACATGCTGTTCAACACACACATGCTGTTCAACACACACATGCTGTTCAACACATGCTGTTCAACACACACACATGCTGTTCAACACACATGCTGTTCAACACATGCTGTTCAACACACACATGCTGTTCAACACATGCTGTTCAACACACAACACAACATTTAACAATGCTGTTCAACACACACACATGCTGTTCAACACACACACATGCTGTTCAACACACACATGCTGTTCAACACATGCTGTTCAACACACACACATGCTGTTCAACACACACATGCTGTTCAACACATGCTGTTCAACACACACACATGCTGTTCAACACACACACACAAACACATGCTGTTCAACAACACCATGCGTTCAACACATGCTGTTCAACACACACATGCTGTTCAAACAACGCTTCAACACATGCTGTTCAACACACACATGCTGTTCAACACACACATGCTGTTCAACACACACATGCTGTTCAACACACACATGCTGTTCAACACACACATGCTGTTCAACACACACATGCTGTTCAACACACACATGCTGTTCAACACACACACATGCTGTTCAACACAACACATGCTGTTCAACACACACATGCTGTTCAACACATGGTTCAACACACACATGCTGTTCAACACACAACATGCTGTTCAACACACACATGCTGTTCAACACACACCGTCACAATGCTGTTCCAACACACACACATGCTGTTCAACACACAGCTGTTCAACACACACACATGCTGTTCAACACACACACATGCTGTTCAACACACACACATGCTGTTCAACACACACATGCTGTTCAACACACACACATGCTGTTCAACACACACACATGCTGTTCAACACACACACATGCTGTTCAACACACACCATGTGTCAACACACCACATGCTGTTCAACACACAACATGCTGTTCAACACACACAGCACCACACATGCTGTTCAACACACACATGCTGTTCAACACACACACATGCTGTTCAACACACACACATGCTATTCAACACACACACACACACACACATGCTGTTCAACACACACGCTGTTCAACACACACACATGCTGTTCAACACACACACATGCTGTTCAACACACACACACATGCTGTTCAACACACACACATGCTGTTCAACACACACACATGCTGTTCAACACACACACATGCTGTTCAACACACACATCAACACACACATGCTGTTCAACACACACACATGCTGTTCAACACACACATGCTGTTCAACACACACCATGCTGTTCAACACACACACATGCTGTTCAACACACACACATGCTGTTCAACACACACACATGCTGTTCAACACACACACACATGCTGTTCAACACAACATCTGTCAACACACCCCATGCTGTTCAACACAACACATGCTGTTCAACACACACACATGCTGTTCAACACACACATGCTGTTCAACACACACACATGCTGTTCAACACACACACATGCTGTTCAACACACACATGCTGTTCAACACACACACATGCTGTTCAACACACACATGCTGTTCAACACACACACATGCTGTTCAACACACACACATGCTGTTCAACACACACACATGCTGTTCAACACACACACATGCTGTTCAACACACACACATGCTGTTCAACACACACATGCTGTTCAACACACACATGCTGTTCAACACACACATGCTGTTCAACACACACATGCTGTTCAACACACAAGCTAGTCACAAACAATCATGCTGTTCACAAACATACATGCTGTTCAACACACACATGGGTGTTCAACACACACATGCTGTTCAACACACACATGCTGTTCAACACACACATGCTGTTCAACACACACACTGTTCAACACCACACATGATGTTCAACACACATAACTGCTGTTCAACACACACATAGCGTTCAACACACACACATGCTGTTACACACACACACTAGCTGTTACACACACCACAACATGCGTTCAAATCACACATCATTTAATCAACACACACATGCTGTTCAACCTACTAACATCGTTCAACAACCAACACACTGCTGTTCAACACACACATGCTGTTCAAACTCAGACCACTGATTCAAACACATGCACGGTCTAGCTTGTTCCACGGAATGAGACTCTAGACATGCTGGTTCAATCCCACATGGCTTTTTAATAGTATCACATAGTCTGTACTCAATAATCTATATGCATGTTCAAACAAACAACTAGTTGTTAAACACACCTAATAGTGTCTCAACATCAAGTGCCATATCTTTAGTTAACACACACAGATATACATGATTTAATCAAACATGATGTATTAAATCTAACTAAAATGTGTTATATACAAATATGTTCATACACAACTAATGACTGTTCAACATTGAATGTTTTACATACACATCGTTCATACACACACATGCTGTTCATACTAAAAATCTTTTCACTATATGAGTAGGTCCATGTTAGTATCATTTATTGCACAAAAATACTAAAATTTTAGGTTATTTAATTGTATCACATTTCGGCTCAGTTTAATTAGTGTTAAAGTTCGATGTTTTAGTTTGGTATCTTCAGAAATCGTAATGACATGATACTGAAAAACAAACTCCACGGATTCGTGGTTAGCGGGTCATATTCTTATACAAACTACCAGCTCCAGTGAGTTTATGCCAATTTAGACATGTAACGGGCTAGTTTTTGAGCACGGGCATGAGTTTTAGACTCTTACCGGGGTTCAATCCCGGCCGAGGGTATGGTTTTTTTGCAATTGTGTCATTACGATTTCTTAAGTCATGTTGACGGCAGTGAAGGGACTTGAGCTAGAGTTCGTCACGGCCACGCTAGCTGGAGATTCGTCTGTAAAAACTTGCATTTGTGGTCACAGTGGTGACTATGCTAACCTTCCTATGGTGTAGAAATATACCTAGTTGGATGAATCTTATTGTGGCTAGCTGGTCTAGTAGCTAGCGCGACGGGCTGGAGTTTTGAGACTCTCTGACCGCGGGTTCAATCCCGGCCGGGGGTATGGTTTTTTTAGTTTGGTCTTTCTTCCGGGTCTTTATCTCTTTATATTCTTTATGATGCATATGAAGAAACTAACTTTCAAGGATATTGATGGTAATGGTGTCCATTTCTACCAAACGTTTAGCCAGCTCCAGCTGGATGTTATTTCTTTGAAGTTAACGAGAAGCAGTAGTAATACTGATGCAAAATCCCGAATATGTAATTATATTTTTACATGAGAAATTAAACTAATTACCTAAAATAGTCGTTGTTCACGCTGGTTTATGTATTTTTATTAATACACTACTGGTGATCACTGCCCATCTTGCCAACTATTTTGAATTTTTCAAATTCCTCAATGTTAACAGAGTAACATCCATTAAATTATTATTCCTTACAACTAAAAAAACTCAAATAATTCAGATTAAAAAGTGAATTTAGAAACCAGAATGCAAACAAGTATATTTCAATGACATAAATATCATTTTGTTATTGTATTGTATTATTGTATTAACGCGACGGGCTGGAGTTTTGTAAAAGAGGAATATCGCTGCAAAATACGTACTCTGTTCTCTATAATTTGCATTGTTCTATGAGCATGAAATCAATCTCAGTTGTAGCTGGAAATACCTGTATGTAGGTCCTCACATTCTGTATTTATGTGTCCTATTATATATATTATATATATATATATATTATATATATATATATATATATATATATATATATATATATATAATATATATATATATATATATTTCGTGCCGAATATGTAAAACTGGTCAATTAGCAAGAACTCATTTAAAATTAAGCCCTTTCTAAAATTTTCTCTTATACGTTTAAAGATATATTTTCTTTATTAATATTAATGTAAAAATTTATAATTTTGCACCAAAAGGAACTTAGAAAACTTACCTAACCTTATTATAAAAAGAACAATTTATTTTAGCCTAACACAACTAAATATATTTTAGATTTGTTTACAATAATTTAATACTAAACAAACACAGTGAAATATATTTTTTTCCATAAACCATACCCCCGGCCGGGATTGAACCCGCGGTCATAGAGTCTCAAAACTCCAGCCCGTCGCGCTAGCCACTAGACCAGCGCGACGGGCTGGAGTTTTGAGACTCTATGACCGCGGGTTCAATCCCGGCCGGGGGTATGGTTTATTTGCAATCGTGTCATTACGATTTCTTAAGTTATATTTTTTTTCGTTAGGTTCAGAATGATTTTGGCGATATTATTGAATACACAAATTTTCACTTGTCCTATATGGCAAGATGAGTGTTGCAATTTAAGCCAAAATGGCAAGTTCTGCCTATTCGGCACGACATATATATATATGCATATGTATGCATATATGAATATGGTAACTATTACGATCATTGTAATATATTCCGAAAGAAATATTTATTAGTAATAATGTTGTTGTTGGGCCCACTACTGCAGGTATGTGGGTGAAGGTGGAGCAGACAGACGAGGTTTCCCTCACATGATAGGTACAACACATCCCATCATCACTGTGACACAACACACACCATCACCCAGTGAACATGGATGGCGAGACCAGGTAAAACCTCTCATCAAATGTATTACCAATTAGCTTATTATAAAATGTCTCACCTTTCATTTTTGACTTTTTCATTCTTTCATTATTTAATTATTGTAAGAGTTTACTGCATGTAATTACTGTATGTGATTACTCTATATGATTACTGTATTTAATTACTTCATATGATTTCAATATGTAAATGATGTTTGAGATTATTCAACGTGATTACTTTGTGTTTATATAATTATTGTATATGTAAATTAATTCTGTACATGCTTGTTACATGTAAGTGATCTCTCATATCTATATTACATGCATATAATTAAACTGAAATTCATAGTCTATCTGTCACTGACTTTGCTAAATTTTTCCATATATTTTTAATAGTGATTATAGTAATTTTTATTACTTTTGTTACTTAGATTATATTTTTTTCTGGTGAAGTTGCTCTAACTGGCAGTTTAGTACTAAATATTTTACATAGGATTTTCACATCCTTCTCAATGTGTTTATATTGTTTATCCCTTTTGGCAAATTCAGAAAAGAAAACATTCGATATGTAAAGAAACGAGATATTAAATATCTCCTAAAGTTACGTAGTTTGGTGAAATTTAAATTAAGGATTATGATTACTTTTTACATGATGACATGTTTACATAGTATAATAAAGCTGGAGCTTTATAAAGGTTAAAAAACTCTTGTGCAAGACAGGTATAAAATACCGACAATATGAAAGTTAAGACACATGTGCAACATCTGGATATCTTTATTGTAGACGTTTCGCCATCCAGTGGCTTTATCAATACAGATTCTAGGACATAATAGGAAGACAGTAGAACTATATACAAAAGATGAGGTAATCAGTCCCTCGGCCTTGGAGTTAGTGTTCACAGCATCGTGGTGGAGGAGAATCTGGAGCAAAGGCAAGAAGACTGGCGGTTATATAGGCGTCAGTGGAAGGGACGGGCAGCAGACGAGGGCATAGTCACTGGTAGGCGGGATTCCCCAGTGGAAGTAGGTCCTTCCCAAAGAGATGGGTTAGTTGCAGCAGCCGTGAAGAAGGTCTCGTAGATGTCCTCTGAACCAAGATTCCATGATGCTGCAGTGTCTGACAAGTTGTGCAAGAAAGGTATAAAATACCGACAATATGAAAGTTAAGACACATGTGCAACATCTGGATATCTTTATTGTAGACGTTTCGTCATCCAGTGGCTTTATCAATACAAATTCTAGGACATAATAGGAAGACAGTAGAACTATATACAATGCTGTGAACACTAACTCCAAGGCCGAGGGACTGATTACCTCATCTTTTGTATATAGTTCTACTGTCTTCCTATTATGTCCTAGAATCTGTATTGATAAAGCCACTGGATGGCGAAACGTCTACAATAAAGATATCCAGATGTTGCACATGTGTCTTAACTTTCATAAAAAACTCTTGCAGAACTAAACGTTGCCACAACAAACTGTTCCATTCATCGTACATATATACTTGTACCAAACAAATTATAGAGAATTTACATTTTAGCTCGTTCATCATTTTTTTTTTTTAATATCCATTATAGACGATAGTTACAGTGTCGCATCTATGACTTACTATAGGTTGGTACTGATACATAAGACAGCATCTGACGGTGTTCGTCTAACCCACGAAATCGTGATAAGACGATTACAAATCAATCATTGAAGCAGTTGGATTCGAACCCATGGCGTGTGAGACCTAAAACTGGGTATGTGAAGGCCTTTTTAAATTGGTTTTTACGATTTGTATTCCCACTCTAACCTATCGAATTTCTTAATATGTTTAGGATTTTCCATTATTCTTGAAGATTACACTAAAAAAAATAAAAAGAATGCAGACTTTTTGAATTTGATTTTTTTTATCTATGTTTCTAGTAACATTTTTGCCAAGTGAAGGTGTGTTGCATTCACTGTCGTCAACTGCAGTGTTGCGAGTGTTGCGAGGTTCATGCATATGTAATACATTAAACAGAATTGTTGAAATAAGTAAACCTTTTCGTGCTCCTGGTCTACTTTTCCTAGTGACACCACTGGTGCTCCTGGTCTACTTGTCCTAGTGACACCACTGGTGCTCCTGGTCTACTTGTTCTAGTGACACCACTGGTGCTCCTGGTCTACTTGTTCTAGTGACACCACTGGTGCTCCTGGTCTACTTGTCCTAGTGACACCACTGGTGCTCCTGGTCTACTTGTCCTAGTGACACCACTGGTGCTCCTGATCTACTTGTTCTAGTGACACCACTGGTGCTCCTGGTCTACTGCTTCTCCTAGTGACACCACTTTTCCTCATGGTCTACTTTTCTCCTAGTGATACTACTAGTTCTCCTGGTCTACTGCTTCTCCTAGTGACACCACTGTTCCTCCTGGTCTACTTGTCCTAGTAACACCACTGGTGCTCCTGGTCTACTGCTTCTCCTAGTGACACCGTTTATACTCCTGGTTTACTACTTCTCCTAGTAACACTACTGGTGCTCCTGGTCTAATACTTCTCCTAGTGACACCACTGGTAGTCCTGGTCTAATGCTTCTCCTAGTGACACCACTGATGCTGCTGTTTTACTGCTTCTAATATTGGCACAACTGGTACTAATGGTCCTCTGCTTCTCCTAGTGACTCCACTAGTTCTCCTGGTCAACAGCTTCTCCTACTGACATCACTGGTACTCCTGGTCAACAGCTTCTCCTAGTGACATCACTGGTACTCCTGGTCTACTGCTTCTTCTAGTGAAACCACTGGTATTCCTGGTCTATTGCTTCTCCTAGTGACACCACCGGTACTACTGGTCTACTGCTTCTCCTAGTGACACCACCGGTACTACTGGTCTACTGCTTCTCCTAGTGACACCACCGGTACTACTGGTCTACTGCTTTTTCCTAGTGACACCACCGGTACTACTGGTCTACTGCTTCTCCTAGTGACACCACCGGTACTACTGGTCTACTGCTTCTCCTAGTGACACCACCGGTACTACTGGTCTACTGCTTCTCCTAGTGACATTCCTGGTGCTCCTGGTCTACAGCTTTTCCTAGTGACAACTCTGGTGCTCCTGGTCTTCCTGCTTCTCCTAGTGACACCACTGGTACTCCTGGTCTACTTCTCCTAGTGACATCACTGGTGCTCCTGTTCAACTTCGTCTCCTAGTGACACCACTGGTGCTCCTGGGCTACTTCTCCTAATAGTGACACCACTGGTGCTCCTGGTCTACAGTTTCTCCTAGTGACACCACTGGTTCTTCTGGTCTAATGCTTCTGCCAGTGACACCACTGTTCCTCCTGGTCTACGTCTTTTCCAAGCGACACCACTGGTGCTCCTGGTCTACTGCTTCTAGCAACACCACTGGTGCTCCTGGTCTACAGTTTCTCCTAGTGACACCACTGGTTCTTCTGGTCTACGTCTTTTCCAAGCGACACCACTGGTGCTCCTGGTCTACTGCTTCTAGCAACACCACTGGTGCTCCTGGTCTACAGTTTCTCCTAGTGACACCACTGGTTCTTCTGGTCTACTGCTTCTCCTAGTGACGCCACTTTTCCTCCTGGTCTACTTTTTCTCCTATTGACACCACTGGTACTCCTGGTCTACTTCTCCTAGTAACACGACTGGTGCGCCTGGTCTACTGAGTCTCCTAGTGACACTACTGGTACTCCTAGTCTACTTCTCCTAGTTACACCACTGGTGCTCCTGGGCTACTTCTCCTAATAGTGACACCACTTCCTCCTGGTCAACTTCTTCTCCAAGTGACACTACTGGTGTTCCTGGGCTACTGCTTCTCCTAGTGACACCACTGTTCCTCCTTGAATACCTTTCCTAGTGACACCACTGATGCTCCTGGTCTACTGCTTCTCCTAGTGACACCACTGGTAATCCTGGTCTACTGCTTCTCCTAGTGACACCAATGGTACTCCTGGTCTACTTCTTCTCCTAGTTACACCACTGGTGCTCCTGGGCTACTTCTCCTGATAATGACACCACTGGTGCTCCTAGTCTACTGCTTCTCCTAGTGACACCACTTTACCTCCTTGTCTACTTCTTCTCCAAGTCACACCACTGTTGCTCTTGGTCTACTGAATCTCCTAGTAACACCACTAGTGCTCTTGGTCTACTTTTTCTCCTAGTGACACCTCTGGTACTCCTGGTCTACTACTTCTCCTTGTGACACTACTGTTCCTACTGGTCTATTTCTCCTAGTGACATCACTTGTGCTCCTGGTCTACTGCTTATCCTATTAACACCACTGGTACCCTTGGTCCACTTCTTCTCTTAGTGACATCACTGGTCCTCCTGGTCTACTTCTTCTCCAAGTGACACTACTGGTGCTCCTGGGCTACTGCTTCTCCTAGTGACACCACTGTTCCTCCTGCTTTAGTTCTTCTCCTAGTGACACCACCGTTTCTCCTGGTCTACTGCTTCTCCTAGTGACACCACTGGTGCTGCTGGGCTACTGCTTCTCCTAGTGACACCACTGGTGCTGTTGGGTTACTGCTCCTAATAATGACACCACTGTTGCTCCTGGGCTACTGCTCCTAATAATTACATCACTGGTGTTCCTGGGTTACTGTTCCTAATATTGGCACCACTGGTGCTCCTGGGCTTTTGCTAATAGTTACACCACTGGTGCTCCTGGGTTACTGCTCCCAATAGTTACACCACTGGTGCTCCTGCGTTACTGCTCCTGATAGTGACATCACTTGTGCTCCTGGGTTACTGCTCCTAATAGTTACACCACTGGTGCTCCTGGGTTACTGCTCCTGATAGTGACATCACTGGTGCTCCTGGGTTACTGCTCCTGATAGTGACATCGCTTGTGCTCCTGGGTTACTGCTCCTAATAGTTACACCACTGGTGCTCCTGGGTTACTGTTCTCAATAGTTACACCACTGGTGCTCCTGGGTTACTGCTCCTAATAGTGACATCACTTGTGCTCCTGGGTTACTGCTCCTGATAGTGACATCACTTGTGCTCCTGGGTTACTGCTCCTAATAGTTACACTACTGGTGCT